GGATGACTTTTCCTGTGCTTTTAGGAGTTCCTGTGTCGAGGGTGGGAGTGAGCCAGGAACGCTGTCCCATCCTCAGGGTTGTTGCCAGGCATTAAAAAAAGGTGGCCTCTTTCAGGAGCCACCTCTAAGTTCCTCCTCCCTGAATGGTTGAACCTTCTGTCGCCTTTATCCCCAGCACGACTGTTCTGCTCTTAGGTTTTATTTTATTCATCTGGAAGGGCTTTAGTTGAGGACTCTGAGAGCTTTGATTGAGATGGTTCAGATCACCCCTTCCTGCCTCTCCCCTGGTCTTCCCACAGCCCCTCTTGGGATCCTGGAGCCTTTCTGCACATAATACCTCATCAGGGGCCTTGGAGCCCTGCAGCTCAGTGTGGTGTTCCCAGACCCCACCAGAGTGTGATTCCTCCCCAGGCTGTGATCCCTGGTGGGCTGCTTTGGGTTTCCCCTACTCAGACCATCAGATCTCTGCCTCTGCTGCTTTATTAACAGGAACCATACCCTGCAGGGCCAGCCTGCTGGGGAAGGGGAAGAAGGGAGAGAAGAAAGACCTGCCCCCACCTCAACTCCACTTGTTTTTAGAGGATTCCTTTGCATAGATATTCTCTTGCTTCTCCCTTCCTCTTTCCTTCTTCCCCCCTCCTTTTTGTTATATTATTCGGTTTTGTGAGGGGATTTGTAACTATGAGGTGATGGCTATTAACTAAACTTATTGTGGTAATCATTTCACAACATATACATAAATTATTGCATTGTATGCTTTCAACTAATACAATGTTATATGTCAATTATATCTCAATAAAAAGTTGGAATTTAAGAGAAAAGACTGAAATCAAAAAAATAAATTTTAGTGCCTACATAGATGATCAAGTTAATAATTCCTTAATACCATTAAAGTACAGCATAAGGAATATAGTCAGTAATATTGTAATAACTATGTATGGGTATCAGGTGGGTACTAGACTTATTGGGAGGATCACTTCACAAGTTATATAAATGTCTAACCATTATGGTGTCACCTAAAACCAATATAATAGTGAATGTCAATGGTAATTGACAAATTTAAAAATTGTTAGGAAGATAAGTTGGGCTTTAACATGTTTTAAATAAATGTATTTATAAGAAAAGTTTACTAACCTATTAAATATTTACCAAAATATTGAGTTTATTTCAGAGTATGTAGCAACATAATTTTATAAACATCATTAATTTTTCACATTAACAATTGTTTTTATAACTTATATAATTGAGCAGTGCCTCAAAAGTATTTGAAACAAAGGCAAAGAAATTTAGCTGGGTAATACAGTGGTAAATTTCTTAGCATGAGATGAAGTCTTGTCTTCAAGAACATATTGCTGTGTATGAGATGAGTCTAATCTATAATATTGTTGGGAAAGTTTTATCGCTTTGAAATGGTTTTCTTTTGCCTTCAATTTTTCTGGCAAGCAAAAGGCTCTTCAGAAGTCCACTATCATAAAAGGAAAAACATATTTCTGATCTTTTTCTTCCTTGAGTCAAGAGGAGATTATGTGTTCCTCTTTACATTCTCTTCCTTTGAAGCTGATTGTAGTCCCAATTTCCTCACATCTGGTTTTTCTAAGGTAGACTATTTTCCCATTTGTATGCACATGCAATCCCTCTTCAATATATGAAGAGCCTCTTTCATTCCATTACTATTTTGATACATATAAGCAAACTCTTGTCAGTAGCATTGTTATGACTCTTTGTTCATGTCTCCCCTAGATTCTACCAAAGAGACTTTGCTCCAGGCGATGCGTGCACGATGCAGTGTGCAGATGATGTTTTATTGAGTCGTACACTTAAAATATGTATGGTTTTGCAAACCAATGTCATCCTAATAAACTTGATACAAACAAACAAAAAAAGAGATTCATTATCAGAAACCTGTCCTAAAATATTTCAATTAAAGTAAGTTAATGTTTATGAGAGCTCCTAGCATTGCACTTGCTAGACAGTGGATTCTTAATAAAAGTTAAAACAACAGCAGCTATTAACCCCCACTTATGGGAGTTATAAAGCTTATGCATATTTGATACTAAAAAACAAAAACAAACAAACAAAAAACAGAGTGATGGGTCACTACCTTTATTCTGAAATAATTTAGTCTGTTACATTGGTTGTGATACCTCTAACTTTTATTACTTAACTAGAAAGGTTTGGTTGGCATCATCTTTAGTACATGAAAAGTGATGATTACAACTAGCTGTCCTATTATTAGATATCTGTAAAATAATTTTAATATAAATTTAGTCTTTAAACTTCATTATTTTAAAGATTCCCTTTAAAGTCTTTCTTATATTTTTTATTTTTTTTTTCATTTTTAGCAACTTCATTTTTTTTCTTTCTTTTTAAAAAACCTTTATTGTTGAAAGTACTATTTATGTCCCCATTGACCTCTCCCAGCCCCCTTTTGTTCTGATAAAATGTGATGAAGATAAGTTATTTTTATCTTATTTTAAACAATGTAACTCTTTTATTTAAGAGAAATGACAAAGTAGTTGCAATCTAGTACCATCTTGGAGTTAAGGAAAGCTCTTCTAACATGTTTTGCAAAACAAAGAATAGTTGCAAATAGACAAGCCAAATTAATTCCAGAATGGAAATCAGCCATTAGAAAAACTTAAACATTCAATATTGCCTTTTACAGATACGATAAAACCCTTTGTTAAAAATGAGCTGTGGGGTCAGAAGTTCAACTCTTCTAAAAAAAGGGGGGGGGTGATATTTAAAACTCTTCTCTAATTAATGGAGATATTTAAATGTTTAAAGTGTTTAAAAATAATTAAAGAATATCTAATGAGCCTGGCCTATAATTGGTAAATAAAGAAGTGCATCTGATTTTTGCAAAATCTGTTACTCAATCTTTTTTTTTTCTTTTTGCAAGAAAGCTAATGAAGAAGAGTGAAATCCAGTTGGCCTGACCTTCCAAGCTTTAGCATCCACTTCTCAGGAATTTGGCTGAACCAAATTTTAACTGCCAACTTGCATCCAGCAGTATATTTTCAAAGGCTAGTGAAAGCATGTTCCTTGTGAATATGCTTGTAATGCCTTGTCCAGGAGTTGTGGGCATAGCCACATGTGTCTTCCCTCAGATCTTTAGAATACCTATATAGGTACATTAATTTATCCTATATAATAAAAGGCTAATATGCAAATCGACTGAACGGAGGAACAACCTGTCATTATGATGTGCGCTGACCACCAGGCAGCAGATGCTCAACGCGGGAGCTGCCCCCTGGTGGTCAATGCGCTCCCACAGGGGGAGCGCCGCTCAGCCAGAAGCCTGCTCATGGCTGGCCAGTGCAGCGGGGGCAGTGGGAGCCTCTCCCACCTCTGCAGCAGTGCTAAGGACCCCTCATGGGATGTCCGCCCGGATCTCTAGTAGTGATATAATAGCACTACAGGGAAGCATTTTGAGCTTTGGATTCCAAAGAGATGAGACACAATTTGTAGTTTAGACAGGTTGGGCATTGGGATATGGCCAAATGAGAGTTAAGTAAAAAGGAAGATGGCAAAGATGTAGAAAAGTATGGATAACACCATTTTAATAATTATTTTTACATCAACTCCTGATTTCTCCCCAAAACTGACTCCTCTCTTCCCATCCCCTATACTGATGGACCCTGGCTCACTAACACCATGCATTTGGTTCCTCAGGCCCCAAACTTTTTGGGTCATCATTGAGTCTTCTTTCTTTCACATTCCACATCCAATCCACAAGCAAATCCTGTTGCCATTACATCACAGATTACATCATAAATTTGGCCATTCTCACCACTTCCGCTTCTACCACCTGAGCCACCATAATCTTTTCCGCCAGGGGTTTTGCAATAGCCTCCCAATTGGTATCCTCTATCTCTCCTCTGGCCCCATTATTTGCTTTCTTGTGCTAAGCAGCAGCCAGAATGATCCTCTTAAAATAGAAATCAGATTATTTCATTCCCCTGCTCAAACCTACGCACCTTCCCATCACATTTGATACAAGGCCCCACAGCAGGGCTTCTCAAACATGTCTGCACATTAGAATCACCTGAGGAGTACTAAAACATTACTGCTGCGTGGGCACCACCCCCAAGCACCTGAAGTCCGTGTGTTGGGGATGTCTGTGGATTTTTAAAAGTTCCAGGTGTTTCTGAGCCACAATGAGGGTTGGGAGTCCCCTGGCTACCCCTGCAGCCCCATGCCTATCGCTCCACCCTTCACTCCCTCCGGCCCACCTTACTGACTAGCCAAGGATGTTCGAACCTCAAGGCCTTTGCGCTTGCTCTTCACTTCCACTAGCTGCACAGCTCACTCCCTCACTCCATTCAGATCTCTGCTCAAATGTCACCTCCTCAAAGAGTCCTACCCCTGACTCTCCCATCGAAAATAGTTTCAGTCCTCACCTTGTTCTGTTCTGTTGCCCTCTTAATTTTCCTTCGGGGAAGTTTTAATATTATATTACAACTACTTGTTCATTGATGTTTTCCTTCTGTCTAACCATGAGAATTGTAAAATCCAGGAGGCCGGGGAATTTGTCTAATTTGTTCGACAAATACTGCCGTATTTCAAGTTCGTGAACCAGTCACTGGCACACAGGCATGGTAGGGGCTTAATAAATATTTATTGTTAAGTTTGTGTTTTACTATGATAGTCTGGGCAGTGGCAGAAAGGATGCGCCTGCCAGAGATCTGTGACTTCGAAATTAGATTTTGTTTCCTATTGTTGTTTTTGTTTTGTTTTGTTTCATTCTGGCTTTTATGGAATATTCCCACTAGCACTGGGCTGTGAAGCCTCCTCCCAACCGCAGGTGCCTGTAATGTACTCAGGGCCAAGCTGCCCACATGCCCACAGCATCTCGGGAAAATTCCAACAACCTCAGCCTCGGGGCGTGGGGGTGGGGAGTGGGTCTGGTTCGGGCTTGGCTGGAAATCAGCCCAGGCTGGGCGGGCTCAATGGCCAATGGAAAAGCTGTGGCTGCTGTTTTAGTTCCCTGCCACCCCCACTCATGCAAGAGTCTGCCCCTCGATGGGTGTTGAATTAGAAGCCTGTCCCGCAGGCCACAGCTATGAAGGTAAGCTAATAGGCCGCTTTCATAGGAAGACCAGGCTTCCCAGGTGGCTACCTCCCCACCGTGGGGGTGGGGGAGCTGGTTAAGAACTCTTTCTCTGTTACAGTTCTGTGGGACCTGTTAACCTACTCTCCTCACCACCCCCACCCCCTCAACAGGGCCAGGCAGTCACATGGTGTGTCCTGAGGCAGTTGCCCAAAATAGGCTTTAGAAATGTGCACAAACTCCTTTCCTGGAGATCGGGAGACTGGAGTGAGGCAGGAGAGTACAAGAGAGGGCCTGCTGGCCCCTGCAGCCTTTGGAGAGTATTTTAGTAGGCCTCACTCCCCGTGTTAAATTAGCAGCCTGCCCCTCAGGCTGAAGCTTTTAAAATAAGCAAACAGGCTTCTTTCACAGAAAGATTGGGGGTGCCTTTCAGTCTGCTCTCTCTGGGCTGTGCTCTTGCAATAGCTGGTGAGGAACGGCTTCTCCGTTTGTTACAGTCCCGGGAGACCTGGGACTGTGAGCCCTGCTGACCACCAGAACCAGGCAATCCAGGGGCGTCCCCTGCACAGCAGCCACAGAAAGCGGGGCACCAGCTGTGTGCACAAGCTCCCTTCCGGGAGATACTGGTGGCCTGGAGCAAGGCAGAGGGAGAGTGCAAAGATGGTGGGTGCTGGCCTGTGAGGGTTTTGTAGAGTATTTCAGTAGGGTCCCAGCTGAGTGCTGAGTTTGATGCCTGCCCCCTCAGACCGATGCCAAAGGTGGGTGAACAGGTCTCTGTCACAGGATGACTAGGGCATTTCAGGCTGCTGTCTCTGTGCCAGGCCCTGGGGCATAGCCACAATGAGTCCTCCTGAACCCTTAAGAACTATTTCTCAGTTAACTATAGCCTTGTGGGTATCGTGGACACAAGCCCATTTGTTTTCAAAGCTAAATGCTTGGGGGGCTTGTGACTCAGGTGCTGTGACAATTGATGTGCCAGATGTGGGGTTTGAGCCCTTCAGGGAGAAGCTAGGAGTTGTGGGTTCCCTCAGATTATGGTTTGCCATGCCAGCGCTGGGTTTATGGTGAGATTGTGTCTCATCCTCTCCTCAATTTGATGTAGATTTTTTTTTCTCATTTACCCAATATGTAGGAGTTACTCATCTAGTTTTTTGGTTTCTTCCAGAGGAAATTATTCCATTTGTAGCTGTAGATTTTGTGTGTCCATGGGAAGAGGCAACTTCAAGATGCCCCTAAGTTGCCATTTTGAACCCACTCAACAATTGCAGTTTAATTTAATGAATATACATATTGGATACCTATTATGTAGTAGGCACTGTAGGAAGTTCTTCAAGGCAGGGGAGGCTCCCATGCCAATGGATCAAAATAGAATCCAGACCACAGCATGTGCTATATACATAATGTGGGAACATAGGGATTGTCACATTGATATATCTTCAGGAAGTTTCTTAAATACATAAGTTTATTGATGTGGAACATACCGTAGGTTGGTTAGTTCAACATCCGTAACTTCTTGGTACTTTTCTTGGCTTCAAAAGCTGAAAGGCTAATTATGTTTGCTAAACTCTTGCACTTGGGCTTTTGGGTGCTATTTAAATTCTGTCAGTCAAATGCATAAATAGAAGAGTAATTCAGTAATGAATTAAATGGGGAAAGAAACAGTGATACACTACCTATTCACATTGCTGGAGTGGACTGAGCAGATACTACATGGCTCAGCAATTCCTGTAGCCACTTTCCAATCCCAAGATCATTGTGTTTATCATATTTGGGAGGCTATGCACTACTTCACTATCCCACTTGGGTGCTGTTGCCTTAATTTTTTAAAGTCATATTTGCTGAATATAGCAAGTTTCTTCTGCGAGATTCATTGATCTTCTTGCTACTATTGGTTTATAGTTTTTGTCAATTTTGGCAAAATTTGAGGCATTATTCCTTCAAATATTCCCTTCCTCCCTTGAAGTTATCCCCAGAGCTCACTGATGCTTTTATTATTAGTAGTAGTATTGTTACGTATTTTTCTCTTTGTATTTTATTTTTGATACTTCTTTCTAAAATATCTAACATTCCTTTAGTTTTATCCAGTGTATTTTTCATCTCACATGTGTTAGGGAATTATAAAATGGGCCCCCAAGAGATTTTTGCCCTAATCCCCAGAACTGTGAATATGATGAAATCTCACTCCCAATTATGTAGTTACATGGCAAAAGGAATTTTTCAAATGTAGTCAAGGTTACTAGTCAGTTGACGTTGAGTTAGTCCAGTGGTTCTCAACCTTCCTAATGCCGCGACCCTTTAATACAGTTCCTCATGTTGTGGTGACCCCCCAACCATAAAATTATTTTCGTTGCTACTTCGGCGACCCCTGTGAAAGGGTTGTTTGACCCCCAAAGGGGTCGTGACCCACAGGTTGAGAACCGCTGAGTTAGTCAAAAGAGAGATTATCTGGGTGGGCTTATTTATAATAATAAAAGCATAATATGCTAATTAGACCAAACATCCTTCCAGACAACTTTCTGGACAAAGCCAGGGCTTCAAGGGAAGCCCGGGTCCCAGGTGCCAGAGGGAAGCCGGTGCCGGCAGCTGGGGGAAGGAAGGCCTACTCTTGCACAAATTTTGTGCATCGGGTCTCTAGTGTAATTATATAAGCCTTTAATGCAAATGAGTTTCCTTAGGACGGTACCAGAAGAGGAAGCCAGAGAGATCTGAAACATGTGGAGGATTCAATGCATTGCTACTGACTTGAGATAGAAGGAGGCATATAAAAAAATCTTAAGAGTTGGTTCTAGGTTCCCAGAGTGACCCCTGGTTGACAGCAAGAAAATGGGTTCCTCAGTCCTATATCCACAAGTAACTGAACTTTGTCAATAACCTGAGTGAGCTTGGAAATGAATTCTTTCTCAGAGCCTCCAGATAAGAGTTCAGACCAGCCATTGCCATAATTTCAGCCATATAAAACCCTCATCATAGACCCCAGGAAGCCCTACTGGACTTTTGACTGATAGGACTATGAACTAATATATGAGTGTTCTTTTTTAAGCTACCAATTTTTTGATAGTTTCTTCACCAGCAACAGAAAACCAGTATGTCACACCTTATAATTTTTATCTCTAGACATTTAATTGGGGTCATTTTTTATATCTTCCAGGTCTCTACTAAGCTTTTTAAACATTAAGAGTGTTATTATAAATCATGTAATATTATTTTATATTATTTCTAATATCCATGTCAGTTCTGGGTCAGTTTCATTTGTGTGATTTATCTACTCATTGTGGATTGTATTTTCCTGTTTCTTTTTCATGCCTTGAAAATTTTGATTAGATGTCAGACATAATGAATTTTACCTTACTTGCTGCTGGATATTTTTGTTTTCCTATAAATATTCTTGAGCTTAAGTTCTTTGGTAACAGTTTGATCCTTTCAGGTCTTTCCTTTAATATCTGTTAGGCAGCACCAGAATTCTGTTTCGTCTGGTGCTAATCATTCTCCGCCGGAGGCTGTACCTTCAACCAATTCCTTGTGAGTTATGAGGTTTAATAGTTTGATGGGTGGGAATAGGCACTCTTCCTAGTCCTGCATGAGTGTTGGATACTATTGCATCTAATTTTTTCAAGTGGTTCTTTTTCTGGCAGTTGTCACACATATATGAGCTGTGCCAAACTCATGCTTTGAGCTTTTAGACTTCTCTATGAAGCTCTCTTCTCTCTGGTATTCTTATAATCCAAACTCTAGCCTTCTTTATCTCCCTGGACTGGACGCTCAGCTCTGTCTCTTAAACTTCAGGTGTCCACTAGACTCCACTCAGATTCCTTTTCCCTGGAAGTTTTCTCGAGGCTGAAAGCTGGACAATCATAGCATTTGCCTCATTTGTTTGTTAATGTCAGGGATTGCTGGCCTTCAGTGTCTAAGGTTCAGTGTCTTGGAAATTCGTTTCATATTTTCTGCAGGTTATTTTTTAGTGTTTTTTCAGGTTCCATCATAAATCCATTTCCTCCATCTTAGCCAGAAGAAGACTATTATTAATCTTTTGACATATAATGGTATGTTGAAATACACTGCTCATACCTAGAAAATATATTTTATATATATATGTATACATATAGTATGCATTATAAACATAAATCAATATGTGGAATGTTTTGTACCTACATTTATTTATGAAATTGTTTCCATGCTGTTTTGACATCCAAATAGAAATAGTTATTTGAATTAGATGAAAATGGTCATTAAAGACAGTAGAAAGGCAAGTTGTGAAAATGAGTGGGGATTGATATTAGAGAATATGGAAAATGCAGAATCATGACAGAGGAGGGCATATTATAAGGACCAGTGAGGTAGTAGTGTGGGAGGAAGAATGGAAGTAAAGATGAGGAGGGATGTGATCATCTTTAGAGGGCATTCTTTATGTGATGAATATGGTTTTTTATACAGAGGGGATGTAAGGCTTTTGTTCTCTAATTTTACTGTGTCCCTGTATCACTCACATCTATATATCTCTTTCTTACATGCATCTATAGGCATATAGCCCTAATTAGAGGATATAATAAATGAGGACAGTTATTCATTCCTTCAATAAGTAATTTGATTCATCTATTCTAATTGAAGCACTGGGCTATAATAAAAGATGCAACTTTTAACAAGGCAGATGCAGTTCTTTGTCCCAAGGATAGTATCTAGCAAGGGGGACAAGTAATAAGCCATTGCAATAGTATGTTGCTAAAATAAAGGTAAATAGCATAATGTTCTCCAGGTCCATTCATGCTGTTGTAAAGGGTAAATTTTTCTTCCTTTTTATGGCAGAGTAGTATTGCATTGTATAAATGTACCACAGCCTTTTTTTATCCACTCATCTACTGATGGACACCTGGGCTGCTCCCAAGTCTTGGCTATTTATGTATATAAAAGCCTAAGCAACCATTACGACTGGATGAATGGCTGGTAGCTATGATGTGCACTGACCACCAGGGGGCAGATGCTCAATGCAGGAGCTACCCTCTGGTGGTCAGTGTGCTCCCACA